GTGGTGGTAGGGGTGGTCCGGATTGAGCCATGCTGAACAGATGTAGCAGAAATGTGTTTGGCACTGCGCGCAGGTCTGCAGAGATACGAAGTCAGTATGTGTGCCACATGCATTTTATGAGGGTCGGAACTTACCATGTGATTGCAGCCGTAACCTTTCTGGCAGGGTACAGAGCAGTACGGGCATGGTGTCGTGTTCTTCATGATGAAGTTGAGCGATGCTTGGTCGTCCTCGGTGAGCTCTGTGACATTGCGTGGCTCGCAGCGTACGAAGTCTCCGTGCCACGACGCCAGGCAGATGACACAAAAGGCAAGGGTGCAATCTTCGCAGACCTGCAACCGCTCCATACCTCGTACACCAACTCCCCGCTTTTCCGGGCCACTGTTAATCTCGGTCTCCTGTGGTTGAGCTGGGCCCTCATCGTCTGCTTCAGAGTCCGAATCGTCCATCTGCGTTACGTCCGTAATCTTAGGGTATTTGTCAGACCGCATAGCGCCTTGACACCATTTGCGCGGACAGTATACGATGTTCGGGTCGGATTCGATCTTCTTCTTCCGCTTAATCTTCGCGTATCGCTCGACCTGGTCGCGGGATATAGGAATTTGTAACAGTTCCTTGGGTGACAGTAGCCGGTCCTTCTTCTTCCCACTACTACCGCACTCCGTGGACATGCATTTGATGTTGTTGACGTTTCCCTCTGTTATACAGCTGTCGTAGTATTCTTGGAGGCAGTTGATGCAGAAGACATGGCTACAGCGAGCCATGCGATAGCACGCGGATCCCTTCTTCGGCTCGAGACAGACTCCACAATCGAATGTGTCTTTGTCAAATAGCTCCTTCTTCATCCGCCGACTATAGTCGACCAACTCCTTCTGCATGGACGAGGGTAGCGTGAGGTCTTCCAAGCCAAAAGCATTTTCGGCCTGCTCTTGGAGAGAGCTGATATACGAGAATAGTATAGAGCCCCCGCCATATTCCTCCCAGAGTGTCTTGGCTTCGGTTGTCAGTCGGGCCTGCAGATCCTCGCGGATCCATGACGGCGAAGTCGACAGTCGAATTACAGGCGGTAGATGTTCGGGGTATTCGGCAGGCAGTATGATTTCGAGACGCAGCGGAGGTAGGTATGGGAGTCGTTCGACATCTTGCTGTGGCTCAAAGGTGATAGGTAGAGGCTTGGCGGGTGCGACGAGCAGTTCGAGAGTGGCCGAGTACGGATCGCTATCGTTGATGACCAACTCCGGGTAGATGGACTGCAGCGTGCTGAGCTCTTCGGCGCGCTCGTCTTCCAGGTTGAACTCTGTCATGGCGGCAGATGGTAGGAATGCCGCGCTTCTATCGGCGCGTGGGTTGTATATGAAAGTGGCGGCGGCGGAGAGAGGGCGGAGATAAGTCGAATGCGGTTGGAAAGTGTGAAAAGGGCGTGGCGACTCTCTTCTATCGATAGCGCATAAAGGCAAAAGACCCCTTGAAGAGGCCCATGGTGAGTCAGGCGCTGACTGCAATCACTGCGATTCCATAGAGGCTTTCAAGAGCCAGGCCGTTGCAGCAGATGCGAGCATGTATGCAGCACAATCCCATCACCGAGGCATCTCGCATGCCAAGGCCGACAGGGTACCGCCGGGATTGCGCCGTCATGGACACGGCATGCGCACCCTTCACTCTTGACACGCTGCACCTCCCACGTGAAGTTGCTATGGAGGCCCCTCCGCTTGCGTCGCTGTCCTTGACGCATGTCCACTATGTTGGTCTCATCTACTGACAGCCAGAGCCGCTGCTGATCCGCCTAGAATCCCGCCGACCGCGTGTCCTACCTCTGCGCATGGCTTGCGCTGGTGCCCCAGGGACTATGCGTCGTCTATGCGACGCTGATATGGTCAAATCGCGAGATTGAGATATTCCTCATGTTCGCTGGCCAAATGGCGTGTGAAGCGCTCAACTGGGTTCTGAAGAGATACATCAAAGAAGAGCGGCCGCGGGGTAATGTTGGCAAAGTATATCATGTGAATGTAGTACTGATAATTTTACAGAAATGCATGGAAAGGGCTACGGAATGCCCTCCTCGCATGCCCAGTTCGTCTCCTTCTTCTCCGTCACCCTAGGCCTGTTTCTCCTCTTTCGGCACGTCCCACACCCGACCGAAACCCACACCCCCTTCTCTTTCGGCGGCCGTGTCCTCCTTTCGCTTCTAGCAATGGTTTGCGCAGGAGCTGTAGCAGCAAGCAGGATATACTTGAGCTACCATACACCAAAGCAAGTTGTGGTCGGGTGTGCCGCCGGCGCCCTCTTCGCTCTAGCTTGGTTCGGCTTCACAACCTTCCTGCGGAAGGCCGGTTGGATAAATTGGGCTCTCGAGACCTGGGTCTTGAGGACGTTGCGCGTGCGAGATCTCGTAGTACAAGAAGATCTCGTTGATTCTGGCTGGGCACGCTGGGAAGACCGAAGGAAACGGCAAGTCTTCCAAGTCCAGGGTAAGAAAAGTAGGTGAGATCTAAAACCTCTGTATATATTACTACGGTACGAGACTGTCATTCTCGTATCGGCTCGTCAATACTCAAATAGATGTGTAGCGCAACACAAAACAAGATTGGCGACTAGGCCGGCTTGCAAGCCTCTCGACATTCTTAGCTCCCGTGCGCCGTCGAGATCACCAGAGCTTCTCTCCGCGGAGTCAGTTTCCTTCGTCAATCTTTCAGCCTCCAGACAAGCATGTCCCTAGTACCAATCACAGATCATCGTCATGACATCTGTAACAGCCACCAACGTCAGGCTAGTCGTGGCTTCAGCCGTGTGCAACGGCATGTTCTTGCCCTACAAGCACCTCAAATCCTATCATCCTCCGTGCTGCCTTAACAAAATACACATCTCCAGTCAGCTGTGGCTGAAGTTCGCCGTTCACAAGCGATGATCTCCATATTTAGTGGTTCAGACTATATGTGGACCCTTGACGCGCATCTTCCGTCACAATCGTAATCGTCATGCTTCCATCGCTATGCCGTTGGCTATGACAAACCCGTCAACCGGAAATATTGACCGCTATGGTATAACGGCGGCCGTTAATTACTTTTAGGTCGTCTTTTAGTTTGGGCTTCCCCAGCTTGGGCGTCCATCTAGTATCTGCTGTCCCTCATCACCGTGTCGCATACTCTGTTCTGCGAATACCTTTATCGATACACCCATTTACTTTCTCAGATAATCTCTAGTTCAATATCTTTAACCGACAATGCCTCGCATGAATACCTACCGCGAGCCTAAACCCCCACCACACCGTTCCCGCAGCCGCCCACGAAGCCAAAACCAAAGCGAAAACAGCAGTCCCCTTCCACGCAATGAATCGGATTACGACGTGCCCGCTCCCCAACCCAAGAAACACCTCAGCAGTTTAGAAGGGCACCTCGTCGCAGCGAGTGGAGAGTTTGTCGGCACATTCATGTTTCTCTACTTTGCTTTTGCCGGTCAGCTCATGATCATCAACCAAGCAAGTGACCGGTCGATTCTGAATGGGTTTGCTAGCAGTCAGCAGAACATCTTCATTGCTTTGGTGTATGGCTTTAGTTTGCTGGTGAATGTTTGGGCGTTCTTTCGCATTAGCGGAGGGTTGTTCAATCCGGCGGTATGTACCCTCCCAGTATCCTCCAGGATACGCGTTAGGTTGTCGAACGATGCTAACATATCTCCAGGTTACCGTCGGCATGGTAGTTGCCGGTCAACTTCCCTTCATACGATCCCTCTTTCTCGTTCCCGCTCAGCTACTCGCATGCATGTGCGCGGGTGGAATCGTCCAGGCTATGTTTCCTGGGGATATCAGTGCTGTCAATACCTCGCTCTCCCAGGACACGTCTATCGCGCAGGGAGTTTTTATCGAAATGTTCATGACCGCCGAACTCGTCTTCGTCGTGCTCATGCTAGCTGCGGAGAAGAGCAAATCAACATTTCTTGCACCCATAGGCATCGGACTGGCGCTGTTTGTAGCCATGATGGGCGGTACGTTCTCCGTTTTGCTTTTGGGGTACTGAGCTGACAAGTACTAGGTGTATACTTCACTGGCGGATCGCTCAATCCCGCGCGCAGTTTCGGTCCAGCTGTTGCTTCAGCATCGTTCGTCGGATACCACTGGATCTACTGGGTTGGTCCTATGCTTGGTGCGCTCCTTGCTTCGGCGTACTACCGCTTCGTTAAGTACTTCAATTACGAGCAGGCGAACCCGGGACAGGACTCTTCGGGCGGTCACTTCTCTGCTTGAGTGTCTTAGAAAGGGAGCGGTGTTGCGAATCTTTATACATCTGAACACACAGCGTGGAGTCATGGGAGTACTTGGCGGATATTGGACAGATCATAGATCTATTGGATGCGCACGTTCTGGCTTCATCGGTCACTTCATTTCATGGTATACTTCAGGTCGTTTTATGTAGCTATCGAAGAAGGAGCCGTTGGTTGCTGGCTTTGCTCCGGTCGCTTCCATCCCACCGAAAAAGTGTTCAACATGTCTTGTAACTCTTCGTGCGATCGCAAGTCATGCGCCCAACATATGTAATGTTATTACAAATGCGGCCGAGCTCAAGCGGCTACCCCTTCCTCGTACTTTTATTCTAGGGTGCGAGCTGTCCTGCCCATCACGTAATACTTCTCCAAACGTCATGTGTGACCCGCCTACCCATCTGGTCTAACCTGGCACATGTTGAGAAGAGTGTGAGGGCTATCTATCAGGTGATCTCTGGGTGTTCATATGCGCAAATACCAGAACATGTGCACCATGTTATTAAGGCGCAACGCACATCAGTTAGTGAGGTCAGTATAATAACGTATTAAACTTGGAATTTTTTTTAGCCTGTCCTTGTAACAGGGTCTTTAGAAGTAAGCGATGGACAACAATCCGAGTGTCAGAACAATCCGCCCAAACAAAAAAAGTTATAATGCAACGCGATGCTCCGTCGCCATACTCAGGTAGTCGAAATCTGTTACACAATGATATCGATGCTACCTATGTAGGCAAAGAAAACGAATCAAACGGCAGAATCCGGTACAGGCTGGTCACGATCAGGCTCGGAGAGGAATGCCACAACGTAGGCAGCGAAGGAAGTGCAGGGAGGAATGGCAGCGATGAGCGCATCCTGTGTAGAGGCTGTCTGCACGGGCGCAACAAGGACGAGGCACACGATGTCGAGTATTAGTACCGCCGGTATATATCTGGCCAGTCGTTAGTATAGTTCCTGTTGTAGTTTCGATTGGTGGCGCTTACAATTTGCCAAGCTTTACTCGACAAGCTTGAGAGTGAAGGTATATCATGGTCACGGTGGACCAAATGCCGAAGATTCTGTTCGACATAATCAGTAAAGTATACCTAACAGATAACTTGGGTGGAGTTACTTACATCCAAACGAAGACGGGCGGGATCCCCTCACTATTGCGCAGTACGAACCAGAGTACACCTGTCGCGCCCATCAACGGGCAGAGCATTTTACCCATCATGGTCGAGATAGACGCGGAAATGCCGATCCCCATCGCGCATAAGGGACCCCAAAGCATTCCGATAGAAAATCGAGGCGACGTGGTCATGATGGAGGCATCGTGGGTATTCTGTGCTTGGGGCGTCATCGGCGATATCCGGTTGTCCAGAGCTGCCACAGGAACGATCAAGTCCACGAAGACAATGAAGACCATCAGGAAGACGAAGATCGTCTTGATCAATGGCTGAGACATCGGCTTGCGAAAAGATGTCGAAGTCTGGCTAGACGACCTGCGAGCTGCCGCTGTTACGTGCTGTTGTTGCGTCGGTGAGGTAGCCTCATTGAAGGGCGCATTCTGATCGGACTCGGTGTTGGAAGGGGCCATGATCGTGTGTCTCCGAATGACGCCGGGGCTTATGAGCTGCGATGAGCTGATGCTCTTTCTCATACGCATTGTAGTACTGTGGTACCGGTGTTGATATTCTCTAGAAGGGGATCAGCGAGTCTTCACTTGGGCACACAGCGAACAATCGGGCCGTACACTGGAGCCGATGTTGGTGTCTGGAAGTTTAACTTACTAAAGATATGTTAAAGCAAAGATTTTCGAGAGAAACGGATTTGAAGAGGGGAAGGCGAGTGTAGTGCACCTGGTCAGTGAGCGAGAGGCCCAGGACGAGGGGCTAAACAGTGTGGCTGAGCTGTTCGTCTCGCCTCATAGCTCAAACTTAAGATTCGTATTGTACCTAGATAGGGTATGTCCGCGACTACATGTCTTGACGCTGTTCGCTGGATGCGACGGAGGACGCGAAGCGGATTGACCCCGGGGCGTCGAAGTCGTGACACAAGAGGAAAAAACCGGTTGTATAGTAGACTCAGCCACTCATTCATGACGAAGCAGTAGTGCTTTTGTATCGGTGCGGATACATGTTCAGCTGCAATTCGCTGATGGTGATCCAGGACTGGACTGCCGCACCCGGGTGGCTGACTTTCGCCTCAACATGCAGGTGATGCATCAGCCCCCATCGAGCAATAGATGCCCATACCAACTCACAGTCAGCCTGAACAGGGTCTAGCACATGTCGCATCTACTGTAGGTCTTCTTTGGATACTTATATACCGTTGGTAACCCCACCAGCACCTACACCTGGACATAGTTGTTCAGCCTCATTACCAGATTACAGTACACTTCGAAGTCTCAGCCTCGCGACGGCTGCACATCCTAAAATCATCGTTATAAAGCAACAGCCTGCTATCGATTTGTCGTCCTCTCTCCACCCCGATATGAGCCTTTCGGCTTGGACAAGTTGCAACGGACACGGCAACACGACGGAGCTCACTAAAATCCTGCATCGATGTCTCCTATACACCATACTTCTGCTGAGCTTCGTCATCAATGCGATAGCAGCACTCGAGCTCGGTCAATATCCGTGGCCAGCCTGGCTCACCACATCCGCAAGAGCCGACCGAATCCTTCCGGGAGCGACTATATGCGCCAGTCGCACGGTTATATCTACCATCGCATTCTTCGCCGCATCTACAGTCATATACCGGGTCAACGTTCACGATCGGTGGCAAGACCATTTCCTCTTCGCTGGTATAACATCTGGTGTCGGCTTGGGCCTCCTTCTAGGAGGATTGCATACCATCATCCTTCGCGTCATGCCATGGACCGTTATGCTGGCCTTACTGTCCAGCACTATACATCATAGAACCGTCGATTGGAGGTATTGTAGAGATTCTGTGGTGGAAGAGAAGATACCTTTGCTGAATTGAAAAGCTTCGTGGAAGATTTACAGCAAAGGTATGGCACTGCACTGGATTCACCTGTGTAGCAAGACTATCTGTTTGTCCGGTTCTTGTTTGGTTTTCTTCTCTTCGAGATGTTGCTAGTTTTTCGTTCTCGTGTTTCTTTCTGTCGTTTCCGCACAATATCTTTGTATCGCTTAGTGGGAGTGAAGGTGCTGATAAAGTATTTCATCAGTCCCTAGGTATCATACCCTATACCTAACCTCAACTCATCACCGCTGTATGTCTCGTAGTCTAAAATTTCATCCACCGTGCTTCTTGTATGAGTGAGTAGCTTCTGATCGTGACATGATTGCCAGGTACTTTGACCTCATAGATGATCAGTCTCAGCATGATAACACTCTACAGTATGTTCTTGAGTCCTAACCATTACCATTGATTTGTGCTACCCGTCATGCCACGATCACACCCAACCAAATTCTACAATTGGAGAGATCGAAGTATGGAAATCCCGAGACCCTTTCGTAGAGGCTCTAAAGCATATTCGAGTGGTTCACGTGTAGTCTCACAGCGGTTGTATGCTACCTGGTCATGCTCATTTGCACCTCGCGACATCTTCAACCCAGCTTGGAAATCATCCCTAGTCAAATGTCTCTCTAGTCCCAACCATCATATACCCTCGACTTACTAAGAGTAGTTCTGGTGTCTCCGCAGTGGATCACTCCATCAGCCTTAAGACCGACGGCGGTCCCCGCAGCAAGTGCCTCAGATGAACAACGTCCTACCAAAAGCGCAGCCTAGCTGACGTCGGGATCGGCTAAGCTCCAGCTTAGACCAACATCCACCTACGAATGGAACGTCTCAAACCTGAGGTGCCTTAGTAACACACGGTGGCGCTCGGACGCAGCACTCGTTAGATTTCGACGTGCCCTGGTCTGTATGAGAGACCAAGCCTGTCATCACCCAGAATATAGATGAGGATGATAGGTTCACTCGAAGTGAAGCCATAGGTGACAGGCACGACAGGGTACATCCTAGTATGCCAGCGACAAGGGGATAATCCTGATTGAAGTCATGAGCGGCATAGCCCTGCTGCATACGACTCGAGTTCGTGTCCGTGGCTGTGGTCGTGGTTTCTCGATCCGCCATGTCAACGTACCTGGATAAGTCTATAATCTTTACCAGAGCGATCTATTCAAATTCGTTGCATGTACGGCGGTTCAAAGCTGGTCGTTGGAGATAGAAACATACACGACTTGCACAATTTGTTTGGCGTCTCCCCCATATTCGTAGGATCAGAATCATATAACGCTGTGTCGTTCGCAGGAGATTCTCAGAACATTGAGATGGGGCAACGCATGTTTACCGTCTCTTGTATGGTCGGATGTACCAAGGCCGGGCCGGAAGGTACTCCACAAGGTGGCTTGACTTGATTGGGGCGTTGTTCAATGCAAGTATAACGGTGGCGTGCAGGAAATCATGTCCGGTGCCCAGGGACGTTTGCCTTCTTTTGCCTGCCGCTTGGTGGGCAACCACAGCCGAGCCACATGTTATATTGTGTCAAGGGCCGTTCAAAAATTATACGGACAGTAGAGCATAGTATCATCCAAGCACTCCATCATCACGCACTTCCCAATTGCATTACGCCCAAGCATCCAAGCAACCAGACATCCTTGGCAGAAAATTATCATTTCACCTTCACCCCCAGTGTTTAACTTCAATCCACCTCACATCATGAGAATGGGAATCTATCATGAGCAGGCCGACTGTAAGAGGCGCGTGCGGCTCCCCGCAGCTGTAACACCCAAGTCCAACCATTTTGCACGCAGGCGCGTTCATGTCCCAACGTGGTTAATACTCGTGTGTGCCTTCGTGGCCCTCACCACGCCCGCAGCCGCGCTCGACGAACCACACGCCCTGACCACAGCCACTGCGGGTCACCGCCACGATTCTCGCCTTCCGATTGGCTTCTTCATCACTCTCCTCCTTTTCATTGGGCAAGCAGTCGCTGCCTTCTCGACTACCCTGGTCGGACCGGCGATGGGCATTACGAGCGTATTATGGCTCATGATGCGCAACGACAATGCCATCAGTCCCAAAGCGTCTTGGGTGTAAGTGGACATTGCTGGAACTAAGCTAGGATGCATGCTTACGAAATCAGGATGTTCGGGGTATGGTCCTGGTTGACAGCGATGTACTTCCTTGTCCAATGCCAACGGGTATCGAACCATCGTTTGTAAGTAACGGCTCTCGACTACTTCGTATCGTCAATCTGACCAAGGCAGATACATCCTCTTCACGATCGCCTTAGCCAGTGTGTGTATGGGACTCATTGCACTGGCCCAGAAGTCGTCGCTGCAAGGCGGCCTAGTGACAGCGATTCCGACTTGTACTTCCTTTGCCGCGTACGTTGTAGCATATTGCTTCCCAGAGAGACGTAGCCGAGAGTCAGACGAATGGAATGCCATGGTATGACGCGAGATATCAGCTGCAACCGTTGCTGGCTCTTACTACGAGAAATGCTCAGAGGTGTTGGTGGTCGAACGGGAAGCGAGAGTAAAGAATACGGAAGAGCTGGAACCCCAGAACGATATGGCGATTCGGAGATGCGAGTGGCAGTAAGGTTGCTGCAGGTGAAGCCCGAAGGCGACATGGACTGCACTAGACGCAATAGTGGCCGGCACCAGGAGGCGGGACAACTACATGTAGATGCTTTACCTGTCCTTGTCTTTCGCAAGTTCAGATAGCGCTCTCTTGATCGAAGAAGCTGTTCTTTCACTTGCCTCTCTCCGCAACTCATCATCGTTGGGCATCCGACAATTAGGCTGTCGACGGAGAGGAAGCTCAGTGTACTTCGTATCAGTGAAGTAGCTCAGATCAAACTGCGGTTCAAGTCGTTGCTTCTCAGTAATCTCTGCAACTTTTTCCTCTGCATCTTTCGTCTTGGTGTGCGCGCTTCGAAAGAGACGATCCGCATCGTCGCGTGGTGAAGACGGGGGCGCAGATTTGCCAAGCCAGGATGTCCCACGGCCGCGCCAGCAGAGTACGGATCGGGCGTTGCCTCGTCCAACAACTTCGAAGCCATCTTCGGTCGCATTATCTCCAATGGCATCGGGCTGTTCCCTCCATATCTCAACGCCATCGAAAATGTCTAGATTTCGTGCGTTCTGCGCTACGCGAAGCGCTTGCTCCATGTCTGCGACCTCGAATAGGACGACTTTGGCTTCTACATCTCTGGCGATCTGAAGCAGGCGCGGATAGAAGCGGTCGCCTTGCTCTTTATCAGTCTGCTTGATCCTTCGTGGAGGTACTAGCGCGAGCTTTGGCTCGAAACCGCGTACCGAGCGCGTTGTCGTGTGCCAAAAGGCAGCTGGCGAGATGTACGGTGGATTTGAAATGAGAATGTCCCAAAAGGACGGTTGCCCCGCCCAATTGAGCGCTGCCGTCAGCGACAAGACGCCTTCAGTCTGGTCGTCAAAGGGATTGATCAAGACGTCCGCCTGTATGAAGTCGAGTTTCCCAGTGTCTTGGAGTTGTCGCGTCTTGCGCAGTTTTTGGAGGTTGTATCTCGCGAGATCAAGGGCTTTATCGGAGATGTCGACACCAAGAAGACGCAGGTCTACCTTGTTTGAGGCGGAG